AGACCCTAATCCTACCTGCTTTTCCTGCTTCCCCCTCCCTGATTTCTCCCCCAAACATTCCCCCCTTCCACACCCTAAAGCCCCCATATATAAAGTCCCAGCTCACAACCCTTGGGCTGACATCTTTCCCTTCCCTTCCCTGACATCTTTCCCTTCCCTGCCCTTCCCTGACATCTTTCCCTGACATCTTTCCCTTCCCTGCCCTCCCCTGACATCTTTCCCTTCCCTGTGGGAAACGTGTCCCGTGCGAAATAAAGCTGTATCCCACTGAGAATTCCATCTGTGCCTCGGTGCCTCCTCCATCCATCCGCTTGTGCTCTCCACCACCCGCTCTCCATTCCAACATTTTTAACCTATCAGTCTACATAGGGAGTTCCCGGCCAGCTGTGACTACAGGGAGATCCTGCTTGAAAAAAAAAAAAACACATATAAAAATAAAAAATAAAAGGTCTCGTCAGTAGGCCGGGGTGGATCTTAGAGTTTGTCTTTGTAGCAAGCTCTGAGTGCTGCCACCATGGCTAGTGCTCTGAGGAAGGTGCTTTTCAGAGCAAATATTTAATCTATTTTATTGTTCCTTTAGTCTGAATTTTGATACCTAGCAATTTAAAAATAAGCAACCAACCTGTTTGTTTTACCTATTTAAAGCACACACACACACAAAATTGAACTAACTTTAAACAATCTGCTGACATGCTGCATTTTGAATATAAAAGAGTTTGATAAGATGATATTTTAAAACTGAAATCCATCTATCAGACAAGAACTGTCCTTGAATCAGTTAAGGTTTTAATGAAATACTTGGCTGGGGGTGGTCTTTAAATGGCTACATGATTATCTGATGTTTTCATTTCTAGCAACAGAGTCTAAACTATGTCCCTATACATCTATACATTCTGAAAGTGGAAAGGAATATGGGATATTTTGTCCTCAACTACAAAAAATATTCTTGTCTCTTTCATTATGTTATATGTATCTACCAAAAGGATGAAAGGTAGTCTAGAGTAAGTGCTCTATGGATGATATTGCTGGAGGCATAATGGATGGTGTGAGTAGGGTAAGTAGAGACGCAGGGAGAGGCACTGGTCTGACAGGGATTTTAAATAAGGATGGGTTAATTAAGATAAGTAAAAAGATGCCAAAGCTGTCACCTGACGTTCAAGACGCTCAAATAGTTTGCCTCCTTTCCAGATTTATAAATCGTTCAATGATTTAAGAATTCCAAGGTTGAATACAGAGAAGACTTTCATCCTGATCTGATGAGTTTTCATACCTCTTTTTCAAAATGTATGGGAAAAAATCATATTTTTAGTTGAAAACAGAAACACAAAATATTTCAAATCTACCTGTTCTTTTCTCTGAGTCAAAATGATTTACTACCCATCTGCATCAAGGATGTGCGTTTAACCCTGCGGTCCTTTATTTACATACAACTCTGCCAGAGTTGAGTATAATGCCAAAGATTTTCCAGTTAGGGAAGGAGGAGCGGAGGGTGCCTCGGTGTTACAGTGACAGGCAAGTTAAGTGAGAAGCTTTAACTCCTCTTGAGAGCAGCTTCTTTAGCGCTTTTCCAGAATATTCGGGTTTTGCATCATTTTCTTCTATTGTCTCTCGATATTCAGTGATGATAAGGTTTTGAAGGATTTCCTTTCCCTGTAACAGGGACAAATTTGTCTACATTGATTTATTGCTTTACATTTTCAGTAGCTACTTTTACAAGAGGAAGCTATCTGGATTCATTACCTACAATCTGATGAACGCTGCCAACGCGGTCTGAGGAGGACAGGATGTTAATGTGGTTGCGATGAAAACAATGACTAGGGGAAGAGTCAGAGACACTGCCTGTGTGAGTGGAAAAGATGGACTAGTGAGTGGACCCGACGAGATGGCTCTCATAGGTTGCACCATTATTTAGAATAGAGGAGCTTAGGAGAAGATGTGGGTATGGGAGCCGAAGCAGGCAGGTCTCCACGAGTTCCAGGCCAGCCTGGTCTACACAGTGAGTTCCAGGTGGACTGGGACTAGAGAGACCCTGTCTCAAAAATAAATAAATAATAAAGTTACTTTCAGACACACTGCGTTTGGGTGAACTGTGCTGTTACCTGAGACATCTACTTCTTCTCAGAAGTACTTATGTTTGGTCCGAAGCCGAGAATAATAATCTGGGACAGAGGTAGAGATAACATATATCATTGGGAATTAATGGGAGAGCTTAAATAATTTTTAAAGTAATCATGGCAATGATTCAGGAGTAGTCACATAGATCATGTGGAAACTAAATGGGACAAAAGGAAACGGAATCAGAGGAACGTAACTAAGGAAGAGAGGCAAATGTCAAGGTTGATGGAGGAGAGAGGGGCGAAGTGGGAGACGGACGAGAAGTAAGCTGCATGCTCGGAGAACTTGGTGTCACCAAAACCAAGGGTGGACTTCATGAGCACAACTGGGAGGAGAGGCAGCTTGGGTGAGCACACACCCACCCACGTGCACACACACACACACACTCACAGAGACACACACACACAGAGACACACATAGACACACACGCGCATACACAGAGACACAGACACACACAGAGTCACACACACACAGACACACAGTCACACACACACAGACACACAGACACACACACAGCAGGAAGGGCTGGCTAGTGACACCAGCTGTCCAGGAGAAAGGAAGGAATGAGTCCAGGCGGATGGGCTGAGGGCGAGGAAGGGACTCGCTTCCTACTCTGGATGAGGAGCGTTGGGAAGGCTCGTGTGGGAGGAGGAAGGGCTGGTGGAGGGATGGAAAGGCAGCACGCTTTGTGCCAAGAGCGCTCCGTTTTCATCTGAGGAAGGCTCTAGGGGAGCAGTAGCTAGTTTGGGTTGCAGGAAAGTCCTGAGGGCTGAGTACAGACGGAAAAAATCCAACCTGGGACTGCAAAGCCCCGAGGGCTCGGCTCCGCTGTCATAGGGCACACAGGCTGCAGCACCGGTCTTGACTGCAGACGGCATCAAACGCTCACATGGAGGAGAGTTAGAGAAGACTGGTCACAGGTGGCTGGAGGTGCAGCTCAGGGTGGTACCACTCACCCAGACCCATACACACCAAGGGGCACACAGACATCTTGCATTACCATTTTAAAATGCTAAATTTTAGTCCATGTTACCTCAAAATTATTATAAAATTCAGCTTCTTAGTTAAAAATCTAAAATGATACAATTTAATGAAATAAGAATTTACACGTACTTAGAATTTTCAACATTCATAAGAAATTCTGAAGGGTTACTTTTCCTATTCGCAAATGCCTTCTGTTTAAACCACAGTCCAAAAGCTTTGGATGAACAGAGCTAACAGGAAATGAAATGTGGTCTGTTGATACCGTCATATCCTTTTATGTGCTGTTTGTTGAATGAACATTTATCAGAAACTGAAAATGATACTGACCCAGGATCTTTAGCTCCGCATTTGCATAAATGGATCCATGTGTGTTCTCTGCGATGCACTGATACATTCCCGCATTTTCAAAAGTCAGGTCATACAGTCTCAGTTCTCCTTTATGATACTGAAACGAATAAACAAACTTGAATGGAAGCTCTTCACTCTACTCTGGACTTAACTGTCTCTTAACATAGGCCCCCACTCTCTCCTAAGGTGCACAGAGTGGGGTTTTCATGGTGTGAAGAACGGCCCACCTACCATGCCTAGTGGTTCTTGTTCTAGGCGTCTTACAGAGCTGAGAGTCCACCTTTTCTGCTCTTAGACCAGCTGAGAGATTATAGTGGGACTGGACAGAAGGACCCCAGTGCTCTTACTTTTCTCCAAGACTAAGATAGGACTTAGAGCATCTCTCTTACCTCTGTTTCTGTGGGGTTAAGAGAAACAGTGGCAAAAAAAGGGACAATGTCAGTGGAGATGGATAAGTAGGAAGGGGAAGTCAAACAAAGGAAAAAAGGAAAAACAGAGAGAGGTAAAGATGAGATTACAGAAAGTTGTTTAAACTGAGAGAAGAGGCTTAAGTTTTAAAGGAAGCTTTTATATTTCAGGGCCCATGTGCACTCCCTCTATTGAGCATCCTGGGACAGCCAGAACACGGGCTCAGGGACAGCAAAGCACCTGAACATACGTACCGGATATCCATTTTTCAGCCACCGAATGGTAGGGATGGGCTTTCCTGTGGCCACGCAGGGCCAGTAGAGGTCGCTACCTATGTCGACCTCTGTGTCATTGATATGTTCTACCCACTCAGGAAATGCTATAAAAGAAAGAACATCGTAAGTGTTCAGTGAAAATCTCAATGTACATCACAATCTCAAAAGTATTGCATTTTGTTAACTTTATATTGGAGAATACATCAGGTACTATCTATCTGCTGTAGCTGTTGAAATTGAGTTTCACAGGTCTGTGTCCTAGGAAAATCCTACATTATCACAGAATGGGGTAAGTATAATTTAATTAGTAAATTAGTTATTTTTATTTACAAACATATTTTGTTGTAAAGCTAATTCACGATGAATACAAAAGCAATTGATATTTCTCCTCATAACATGAATTTTTCAACACTACCAAAAATGCTAATTGAAGTTTTTAAAGAACTGTGTCTCAATTGGTCATTACATTTTCTTTTTATTCTCTGAGTAAAG